GATAGATAGATAGATAGATAGATAGATAGATAGATAGATAGATAGATAGATAGATAGATAGATAGATAGATAGATAGATAGATAGATAGATAGATAGATAGATAGATAGATAGATAGATAGATAGATAGATAGATAGATAGATAGATAGATAGATAGATAGATAGATAGATAGATAGATAGATAGATAGATAGATAGATAGATAGATAGATAGATAGATAGATAGATAGATAGATAGATAGATAGATAGATAGATAGATAGATAGATAGATAGATAGATAGATAGATAGATAGATAGATAGATAGATAGATAGATAGATAGATAGATAGATAGATAGATAGATAGATAGATAGATAGATAGATAGATAGATAGATAGATAGATAGATAGATAGATAGATAGATAGATAGATAGATAGATAGATAGATAGATAGATAGATAGATAGATAGATAGATAGATAGATAGATAGATAGATAGATAGATAGATAGATAGATAGATAGATAGATAGATAGATAGATAGATAGATAGATAGATAGATAGATAGATAGATAGATAGATAGATAGATAGATAGATAGATAGATAGATAGATAGATAGATAGATAGATAGATAGATAGATAGATAGATAGATAGATAGATAGATAGATAGATAGATAGATAGATAGATAGATAGATAGATAGATAGATAGATAGATAGATAGATAGATAGATAGATAGATAGATAGATAGATAGATAGATAGATAGATAGATAGATAGATAGATAGATAGATAGATAGATAGATAGATAGATAGATAGATAGATAGATAGATAGATAGATAGATAGATAGATAGATAGATAGATAGATAGATAGATAGATAGATAGATAGATAGATAGATAGATAGATAGATAGATAGATAGATAGATAGATAGATAGATAGATAGATAGATAGATAGATAGATAGATAGATAGATAGATAGATAGAGATAGATAGATAGATAGATAGATAGATAGATAGATAGATAGATAGATAGATAGATAGATAGATAGATAGATAGATAGATAGATAGATAGATATATAGATAGATAGATAGATAGATAGATAGATAGATAGATAGATAGATAGATATATAGATAGATAGATAGATAGATAGATAGATAGATAGAGAGATAGATAGATAGATAGATAGATAGATAGATAGATAGATAGATAGATAGATAGATAGATAGATAGATAGATAGATAGATAGATAGATAGATAGATAGATAGATAGATAGATAGATAGATAGATAGATAGATAGATAGATAGATAGATAGATAGATAGATAGATAGATAGATAGATAGATAGATAGATAGATAGATAGATAGATAGATAGATAGATAGATAGATAGATAGATAGATAGATAGATAGATAGATAGATAGATAGATAGATAGATAGATAGATAGATAGATAGATAGATAGATAGATAGATAGATAGATAGATAGATAGATAGATAGATAGATAGATAGATAGATAGATAGATAGATAGATAGATATAGATAGATAGATAGATAGATAGATAGATAGATAGATAGATAGATAGATAGATAGATAGATAGATAGATAGATAGATAGATAGATAGATAGATAGATAGATAGATAGATAGATAGATAGATAGATAGATAGATAGATAGATAGATAGATAGATAGATAGATAGATAGATAGATAGATAGATAGATAGAGATAGATAGATAGATAGATAGATAGAGATAGATAGATAGATAGATAGATAGATAGATAGATAGATAGATAGATAGATAGATAGATAGATAGATAGATAGATAGATAGATAGATAGATAGATAGATAGATAGATAGATAGATAGATAGATAGATAGATAGATAGATAGATAGATAGATAGATAGATAGATGATAGATAGATAGATAGATAGATAGATAGATAGATAGATAGATAGATAGATAGATAGATAGAGATAGATAGATAGATAGATAGATAGATAGATAGATAGATAGATAGATAGATAGATAGATAGATAGATAGATATAGATAGATAGATAGATAGATAGATAGATAGATAGATAGATAGATAGATAGATAGATAGATAGATAGATAGATAGATCGATAGATAGATAGATAGATAGATAGATAGATATAGATAGATAGATAGATAGATAGATAGATAAGATAGATAGATAGATAGATAGATAGATAGATAGATAGATAGATAGATAGATAGATAGATAGATAGATAGATAGATAGATAGATAGATAGATAGATAGATAGATAGATAGATAGATAGATAGATAGATAGATAGATAGATAGATAGATTAGATAGATAGATAGATAGATAGATAGATAGATAGATAGATAGATAGATAGATAGATAGATAGATAGATAGATAGATAGATAGATAGATAGATAGATAGATAGATAGATAGATAGATTTTAGGAACGTCAACAGATAATGTTTGATAAATAACAGATTAAACTGACCTCAAAATAGGACACATCGTTTTCAACACCGTTGATAATTTCACCAGAAAATTTGATATATGTTGGCAGGTTTGGAAACGCAGCATCCATATTTCTTCCAATGCAGATAATTCCTGGTGGGGTCTAGATGATATACCACACACACAAATGTTAAATATATATGGTATGTTACACAGCTGAGGAATTCAGCACGGAAAAGTATATTAATCTTTCGACTTTACCGTCACTGACACTTCCATATGCCTCTTGCATTTGGTAATTTATAAATCACAAATGATATTGCTAATAACGATAGAGAATGAAAGAATAAAATTTACTGGCAACAAGATGAAATCAAGTTGGATCTTTTCAAAACAATAAACAAGGCGTTGGACAGGGATGTGTTCTATCACCAAATGATTCTGCTTGTACAGTGAAATAATAATTGGATCCATACATGGTATGCCAGCAACATCGGTTGGTTGACATACGACGACCTACGATATGCTGACCTTATAGTTTTGATCGCTGAAAAAAAAAAAAAAAAACAGAACTGCACGAAATGACGGACACAATTGTAACAGAAGGTCAAAACAATGGTCCTAATTTAAACAGCAGAAAAATAGTAGTAATGGTAATTGCAAAGAAAAAAGACCCTCCTAAATGCAACATCAAAGTAAATGAGACAATCCTCAAGCAAGTTGATACCTTTAAGTACTTGGGTACCCAAATAGCAGCAGACAAATGGTGTATAAAAGACGTTAAGAGTAGAATAGCTCAAACGAAGGCAGCATTTTTCGAAATGAAGATTATTCTATGAAATCTTTCTTTGTCAACTGAGAGAAGAAAGACAACTTTCAGAGGTATATAAATTATGTAATTCTCAAGAGATATATAAATCCTGGGCGCCAGGTGTAAACAAACAATATGGCGGGACACCTTTTTCTTCCGTTAAGACGAAGTTTGTTTTCCGCACCAAGTGTGTGTTTAATGTAAGGTTCAGAGCGTGAGGGGGTTTTGGACTGTGCTACGGAATTCATACACAAGCGTCCAGTCTCCTATCGGCATTTCTTCAGCGTCATGTGGTGAAATGTCATTCAAAGAATGAAAAAGTACAGGTGAAAAGTACAAAGACCAGCAAGCGGGCTAGTGCCGAACAGAAACAGTTCAAATGTGACAGGCTGAGAATAAAATACGTTCGTGTATTGTACTGAAACTGTGCCTCGTTTAACCAAAAACGACTCATTTGTAAAAGGATTTTTTTGCGGCAATGACATCAACGTCCTGCAGGAAAATGTCAAAGCGACAAGACAGTCAGAGCCGCGAGTTTTCAGTGCTGTATCTACAATCGGTGGCATCTCGGACAGGTCAATATGATTCACGACGGCTTAGTGGTGTCCGCACAGTGACGTCCTGCAGGTGTGCGCAGTGGGAGTGCTGGCTCCCGTCAAGTTCAGGAGCATTAATGTTGCATCCTCCATTGACTTTAAAGTAGGTGCATTTTCAGTAACAAGGGTGATAAAACCGTTTGAGGTAGAAAATCGAAGGGTAATATTCTGTTATTTCCTCCAGTTAGACTCTCAACTGATTCCAACAATGAATTCGTTACTGCAAATTCCATTCAATACTTCCAGATTTCTTCCTGAACTCTGTATTTCCAGAAAAAGTTTATGTACGGAATGCGGAAATACTAAAGGCGCTAGAACCTTAGGCCACTATAGAGCAATGTAGTCCGATCTCTTGCTACCAAGCTCAAGAGCAATAAATCCTCTTTAGGGAGACGTGATGCTAACATGTTTTACCACCTGTGTTGGTTATGACCATGCTGGCCTCCAGCTGGACAATACCTACTAAAATTCTCCCTGGTCATCGTAGAAACACTCTCCCTGGCCAACGTAAATAGGATCGACGCTTCTTTCGGAATGCATCTGCTTGAGAGCCGATAACCAGAACGCCTGCACACAGATGAACCAGATCTCTACGAGTGTGCTTATAGTGTTCTCACCTCGAAGATGGTGGCATCAATCGACGTCTGAAAGTCGAAATAATTGTACATGTGGTCAATCTGAGAAATCTGGTTGTGTATAACTGCAGATCCATGTAACTCAATGGCCACAGGTACGTTCTGTGGGTCCGGTCTTGACCAGGTTTTGTCTGAAATAATGTTGGAATTTCGTTAACACAGTAATGTCTTGTTACTGGTTTAATGGGTTAATTCACATTATACTGAATGCGACAGAATGCGACAGCAACAAGAACAACAGAGTAAACAAAATGAAGACACTATTTTATCTATTTTATTAATGGAAGGTCAAGAAATATCTCGCGACGGGGAGAACTAAGGTTTTTCGGATAAAAACATGAGTTGTTTCTTTATTTACATTTAAGAACTGTTGTTATCTTCTCTAACCACTACATATCTCCATCAGAAATCACGCCTATTTCCCTTACATGTGTCCTGGAATACAATATTAACAAAGGACCCTTTTTCCACGCCTTTAGGCGTTTAGGGCATATAGGGCTAGACCTATATTTTTATAGACCAATCTGCACAAGATGGGTGATGTGGTCAGCATCACGCCGGCCGCCTTTACTTTCCCGGGACTGTACCCGGTACCCACTCAAGGCTGGGTCGACCTGGGAGCCAAGGTCATTTTTGAAATAAGTCCGGCTCCGCCAGGGAGCGAACCCACGACCTTCCGTACAATATTAACAGTATGGGTATAAACAGTCAGCTTCTTCTAATTACAGTACACATGCTATGGATAACACTGGCTGAAATAATAGCAGCCACGCCAGCTTATATCCTTATATATATATGTGTGTGTGTGTGGGGGGGGGATGGTATTTGCCACAGCCAGTCAAGTCCGAAACAGATTTGTTTAGCTGAAACAGACTATACCCAGAACACCTAAAACCTAAAGCTCTTGAGAGGGTTAACTTCCAGAACGTCGTGCATCACACACACACAAAAAAGCGTTCAACCTGTGCGCAACACCACACCTAGATCAGCTATATTAGGACCTGACTAAGACCAGTCGTCGTTCTTAGACTGGCGAAGTTTTTCGACTGACCTCTTCTGAGTGTTGTCGTGAGTTGTTCGACAGTCTGCACTTGTTCGATTTGTTTTCGATGTTTCAGTTTTATTAAGTGTTCACAATTATTTCCTAATAATTCGGCTTCGGCGATGTTTCTCAGTTTAACGCCAACACAACAGTTCATGTACTTTTAAGTTTGTCGATAGTATAGATAGAGTAGTGTACACTCAGAATATCTTATTGTGTTCAGCATGGCTGGTTCAGGAGGCAGCAGTGTAGTCTGAGTAAAGAGCAGCGTGAGTTGGGCACAGGACACTATGCAACCCAGAGGCAGGCTAGAAAGTGCTATTGAGTGTCCTTGTGGGGCCAAGAGAGTGACTGTTTTCCATCGTCCGATACGGCAGGAAACGGACGAGAAGCTTTGAGACAACACTCAGTGACAAAAGGACGCGTTCACCCTGGAACAAGAAACCTTGATTTGATGTTAGGCAAGAAAGGATGAGTCCCCTCTGACCGGACAAGGCAGCCACGGCGAAGTGCAAGGTTAATGGATAGGGCAACGAGTTTGCCCCAAACCTGTCATAATTAGAGCTTAATCGACTGTTGACTGTTTGTCTTATCTACACCACTAGTGTGTGATGGTGTTATTTTAGGACAAGTACAGAAATGTAAGTATCTGGGCACATGGATAACATCAGATGGAAGATGCATAACTGAAATAAGAAACGGAATTGGACAGGCAAAAACTGTATTTTTCAAAATGAAAAACATCTTGTGCAATATATCCTTGTCATTGAGAGTTAGAAACAGAATTCTTGCTTGCTACATACATCCAGTTTTAACATATAGCTGTGAATCCTGGACAATCGGTAGGCAGGCCAAACAAATTCTGGAGGCCTCGGAGATGTGGTTTTACAGAAGAATGCTTAGAATACCTTGGACAGCCAAAAAGAGCAACCAAGAGGTTTTGAAAGAGGCGGGAGCCCGAAGACAACTTATCACAGACATCAGAAGGAGACAGTCATCATTTTTCGGCCATGTTATGAGAAGAGGAAAAATAGAACATGTTGTGACCACTGGAAAGATATGTGGAAGGAGGGATAGAGGAAGACAACGAGAGAAGATGCTTGACAGTCTTGTTAGATGGCATGGAGGTGTGTCGGCACACGAACTGATACATGCTGCATGAGATTGCAGATTATGGAGAGGCATGATCGCCCACGCCAGTCGGCAAGGCACCTGATGATGATGAGTGTGTGATGCAATTGTAAAATTCAATGAACAAAGGCTGATATATAGAATATAGAAGGGAACTTTCTGTATCAAAAACTATATCTCTGATTCAGCCGCTCTATCCTCAGAAATAGTTCGTATATGATTGTTTTCCTTCTCTCTCTCTCTCTCTCTCTCTCTCTCTCTCTCTCTCTCTCTCTCTCTCTCTCTCTCTCTCTCTCTCTCTCTCCCTCCCTCTCTCTCTCCCTCTCTCTCTCCCTCTCTCTATCTCTCTCTCTCTCTTTCTTTCTTTCTCTCTTGTTGTACACCACCAGGACATCACACACGCGATAAACATCCCTGACACAAAGTACCACAATGCGGATGAGGATCACCCGAAGAGAGGTCCCAGAAATACCGTTTAGCCGTTAGGCCCGGCTATATTCAGGGTCCCCGTCAGAAGCCATGGTAGGGCTTCAAATGATGAGCAAATTGCATCTAACATGGGGACGACTAATCATGGCCTAAGACGTCACCCCTAGCAACGACCTGTGACGTGGGCGTCCGAATTCTTAGTACCTCACCAGTTGCAGAACTGTTTAATCGAAAGAAAAATGCTACATGACAACACATACACACACACGCGCGCACGCGCACCCACGCACACATAGCCACACATATTTAAATAGCCCCCAAATCCAGGCTTAGAGATCTATTTTATGACGACAAAATGTTTTGTAAATGTGGGGTTGCCGTCCCATATTTCAACCCTCAACCTAGAGGATCTCTTTTTGGCTTCTCTGCCTTGAGACCAGTTCTGCTTGGGAAGGTGATTTATAATTCGTTAAAGTCACCACTGATCACTGACATCACGGAAGCTAATAGACTCAAATGACTGGCGTACTGGAAAATGGCTGATGATTCATAGGAGAAAACTGTACTCAAAGGTGTTAATTAAATGGTCGTAGACCTCGGGGCTGACAAAGAAGATGATAGAGGGATAATATACACGCAGACATACTCCCACCTGGAGTCATCAACTGGCAAATTAGGACCAATCTCAGAGATTAATGGAGGCAGGTGATATCTGCAGCAATGACTCTCAAGGACTAGGAATGCCAAAGAAGAGAATGAAGAAGATATAAGCTGGCAGACAGATAAAACAGTCAGGTAGGTAAGTGGCATGTAAGTCAGCAGCAGCAATCAAGAAGGTATGTAGGCAAATCCCACGAGCTCGGTCTATTGTAATCACGCATCACGGGATGCATCTATACATTTCTTAGCACATGGAAAGCTAGGAGAACTCATTTTCTGATAATTTGGCATACCTCTCCCCCGCCCCATTTTAACTCCCTCATCCACCCCAAGAAAGTTTCCATTTTCTCCCAATCGAGCCCACCCCAAGAACACTGTTTCTGCAACACTATAGCTGATCAAACAAATAACTAACTGTATGCCCTCGAAAACTCGACCCTGTCATAATAATAAGTCCATAAATTCCTCACATTCATTCTGCTTTTTTCTCGCCGTCAACTTATCATCTTCGGACACATTATTTTATAGATCAGACAACGCGGAACGTGACTGAATGTCTGTCCATCGTCGTGACAAAGATTTCGGAGACTACTGTGTCCACAGTCTCCTCCCTAAGGGTGTCTTATGTTTAGCTTCAGTCAAATATCGCTGTGTCTAACATGCACTTAGATTGCAAAGCCCAAACAATAGTATTTCACAAGGAGATATTTTACTTAAAAGACATATTGTCATGTCTAACTGACAGAACCAAGTGGCATCCTAGAGGTGCACACCGACTAGAACTGCACACAGCACTCCGACTAACCTGTGCTAATCAGTTCAATTTCACTCAATTGTAGAATAATGTGTAATGGTAAGAATGTTCGGTCAGATATCAAATTTGTAGTTTTTTCGTTCATTCAGTTAGAAAAGGATCATACTGTTTTGTTTTCAACACAATCTCCCTTTCAAACCTAAATTATGTTAATATGTGTCAGCTAAAAAAAAGGGAGAGGGGCGGGGTGGGGGGGGTGGGGGGGGGGGGGACAATATTCAGCCTGTCCTGCAATAAATCATTCTGTCGCATTTCATATATACCAACATCTGGTGTTAACAGTGTTATGGAAAGCGCACAGTTGCTGATATTTCTCACAAACATGTTTGACTAATCTAGTGAGGCTGAGTTGAGAATTATAGTGTACTTTCTTCTGTTTTCTTCCCCACCTGTCCCCCCTCCCCTATCCATGTCCACAGCCCCCGGTGCTCCCCTCCCCCCTCCGCCCCCCTCCAAAAAAAAAAAAAAAAAAAACACATGGCATGTTAAACACTGTCACCTGTACTTCTGGTTAATCTTAAGCCGGCTGGTAATATGTTTATGTTTAAAAAATATAATAATAATATTAGGAAAATACAGTGCCACCATTCGGATGAAAATCGCCCGGATGCAAGTACCAAAAAACCCCGTTCAACCGTTAGGTTATGTTAGGGCCTTAATTTTTTTGTGTGGTTTCCTATAACAAACATTTGCGTTTCATATCGGGACGATTATTGGTAAGTATAGTGCCGTAATTATTTTTTCCACATATATTATACTGCAAAAACGCTTTCACATTAGCGGCCAGGTTTATTTGCATTTCTTTTAATTATTGAAAAAACCAGTAAAAATAAACTGTCACTTGAGTAATTTTCCTAGAAATATCTCCTTTCTATTACATCCTCTGAAAGGTTACATTTTAAAATATATTTCGCTGTTATCTCATTTGAAACCATACATATTTATGTGTGTGTATGTATGTATATTAATACTTTCTACCAGAGTTTACAGATGGTGAACACACACACAAAAATCTCCCTTCACATTTGCAGTGAAATAAGAGCCGCTGAAGTGTTGTGTTTTTTCTTGGTCCCTGTCAGATTGCAGTCCCCAGGATGAACACCTCAGGCATGAGACTGCTACATGTAAACTATCCTACTTACATTTTGCTTAAGATTTTATCATTTTCTATACTAAACATGCGGCTTCTGTTGCATTCGCATATATTGGTGTTACGAAAGCGAATTTTTGTTATATTTTCAGTAATGCAGTTGATAGCACATCCGCCTACCAATCGGAAGCTCCTGGGTTCAAGCCCATGTTGAAAACCAAGATGAGGTAGAGGACAGAAGAATAAAAAAAATTTTAACTACTCCACTATCTCAGGCGAAGCCAGGTTAACAATATAGTACATATATAAATGGTGAGATTTACTGTCTTAAACTGCAGTTTAGAACTGCTTCTGTGCCAACTTTTCTCTTAGGATTTCTGATTTTCTCTTATGGCCACTCCTGCACACCGTCTGAGACATTTCATGTCCATATATTTATTAAAGCTACAACGAAATCTATTAACTTTTACAACCACCAGTCATGACACAAAGGAAGAAACACTGCCCACAAAAGCGAGGTGAATGGGAGCAGACCACAAGGCAGACCAAGACGAGAATGGCGATATAAAATGCAGACAGTCCTACAAACACTTGGAGTGGCCAGTTAAAAAGAGAATGCCAGCCAAAGTGACGAACTGCGGCAAGTGATGCCTGCAATTAAAAAAAACACGCGCACACAAATGTATTTTGTGTGTCTGTGTATACATATATATATAAACACACATACAAACACAAAGTAAATTTATGTGCGTGTATATATATACATATATATATTCCTGCCATTTTCTTGACCAATTTCCTTTTAATTGACCAAGCGGTAAGGTACTTTAGGATTTATCTGTAGTTAAATACACGTCTTGCTTATACAATGTGGTCAATTACCAGTTGCAGCTATACACACAGAAATGTGTTATTCAGTAAGAGAAGACTAGAATCTTTCATATTCTGCCTTCACTAACAGACAACAGTGTCTATTTTCAGTTAAAGTCACAACACAACTGACTTCTTATTTAACAATGTCGACGAATGATGCGAGCCAGCAAGATGTAATGAAAGCAAAAACGATTTGGTAAAAATAAAACCAGGACGCCAATACTTACTTGAAAAGTAGTGGGTGACATTGACAACAGCTGAGCCTCCAGGCATTGACCATTTTTGGCAAGAGGTGAAGGCATCGACGTCCATATCTCTAATAGATCGAACGCCCAGGTATGCTGTTTGAATCTGGTCCCTGTTACAGAAGTAACAAAGAACACACACACGCACACAAATTACACACGTCGAATATTTTGGTTTAAAAAAAAAAAAAAAAAACAACGGAGATTACTCTCCAGACAGTAGAAAGAGACTAGCAATGCAGAGGTTAAATATTAATAATATCAGTCTATGGCAAACAACTTAGAGTGAAAATCCGGAAAACGTGCTTCTTGTGACCAGATGTAAGTCGTGGACCGTTTCGCAGTCAGTAAAAGGAGGGTCGCAGCTTTGAACTTGAATGTTACACGAAGATTCTTAGAACTTCATGGACTCAGAAAATTGAAAATGCTGACATTCTCAACTATCTGTATATCAAGTGGAACTGAATCATGCTCACTGTTTTCTCGCAACCTAAATACTTGTTCATTATGAAACGTTATAATGATATGGAGATAACAGTAACAGATGGTATGGCTCGCAAAAGATGAGGCATAGGTCGACTATTATGGCGTAGACACGGTGTACTAAGAACACACTAGGCATGAACGTTCACGAACTAGGACAACTGACAGGAAACCGAGTTGTTTCTTACTCTTGCAGATTTGATTCCTTTGGTGTAGCTATGTGCAAGTGTCAAGTGCTTGGCATTTGTTAAACTAGATACCAACAGTATCAGCTCGGCTGACCATTTTCGTAATCACCATCTTTCTTGCTCATGTAATACTGAAAGTACCTGATGTCAGATGCACAAGATTGTCTGGTGACGAGTGGTGGGAAAATATCCTTCTATTAATTAGCTATAAAACTGTACCCATTCAATCAATTAGAGCAAATCTTGATGCCACCAGAACTGCAACGAAGACATAACCAAAAAAAAAAAAAAAGTTTATACTGTTATAAGTCTTCTTCTTCTTCTTCTTCTTCTTCTTCTTCTTCTTCTTCTTCTTCTTCTTCTTCTTCTTCTTCTTCTTCTTCTTCTTCTTCTTCTTCTTCTTCTTCTTTTTCTTCTTCTTCTTCTTCTTCTTCTTCTTCTTCTTCTTCTTCTTCTTCTTCTTCTTCTTCTTCTTCTTCTTCTTCTTCTTCTTCTTCTTCTTCTTCTTCTTCTTCTTCTTCTTCTTCTTCACTTCCTCTTTCACCGCTTCTGATGTCGAGGGGGAAATAAGTTTCTGCTTCTTGTTTTTCTGTCCGCCTTAACCATCGACACATCGTGCTGTCGTAGAGTTTCTCTGATCTTATCTTTCTATGTGGTTCTTGGTCTACCTCATGCTCCACGTCTTTCTCCTTCTTTAGTGTATATCCTGTATGGTATGGCGTCCCAAGGCATTGTCTCTAAGTGGGCATACCACTTGATTTACTGTCTTTAACTGAAGTTTAAAACTGCTTCTGTGCCAACTTTTCTCTTAGGATTCCTGATTTTCTCTTATGGCCACTCCCGCAACCGTCTGAGACATCTCATGTCGATGCTTAATTTTCTTTTCTTTTCTGGTCTATTATAAGGGACCATGTGTGGCACTAGGGTCTAATGAATAAGCTTTACATGAAATGGTTCTTTGAGCTGATCGGAACCTATTACGCTGTAATAGGGAGACTTTCTGTCCCTGTAATAGTGAGACTATCTGTCCTGTAATAGGGAGACTATCTGTCCCTGTAATAGGGAGTCTATCTGTCCCTGAAATAGGGAGGCTAATGTCCCTGTAATAGGGAGACTATCTGTCCCTGTAATAGGGAGACTATTATTACGCTGTAATAGAGAGACTATCTGTCCCTGTAATAGGGAAACTATATGTCCCTGTAATAGGGAGACTATCTGTCCCTGCAACAGAGAGACTATCTGTCCCTGTAATAGGGAAAAATCTATCCCTGTGATAGGGAGACTATCTGTCCCTGTAATAGGAAGACTATCTGTCCCTCTAATAGGGAGACTATCTGCCCCTGTAATAGGGAGACTATTGTTACGTTGTAATAGGGAGACTGTTCCTGTAATAGGGAGACTATCTGTCCCTGTAAAAGAGAGACTATCTGTTCCTGTAATAGGGAGACTATCTGTCACTGTAATAGAGAGACTATCTGTCCCTGTATAAGGGAGACTATCTGTCACTGTAATAGAGAGACTATCTGTCTCTGTAATAGGGAGTCTATCTGTCCCTGTAATAGGGAGACTACCTGTCCCTGTAATAGGGAGACTATCTGTCCCTGTAATAGGGAGACTGTTTGTCCCTGTAATAAGGAGACTATCTGTCCCTGTAATAGGGAGACTATCTGTCCATGTAATTGGGAGACTATCTGTCCATGTAATTGGGAAACTATCTGTCCCTGTAATAGGGAGACTATCTGTCTCTGTAATTGGGAAACTATCTGTCCCTGTAATAGGGAACTATCTGTCCCTGAAATATGGAGACTATTTGTCCCATTACTAGGTTTACTTTACTGCATCGGATGTCAATTTCTTCATTCAATTTTCCAGCCTCGGTTAATGGTATGCCCAGATATTCAATTTCACATGCCTGTTTATTGCATTTGCACCCTTCTCCTGTTTCAGGTTATGCTTCCTCCTTCCTATTAACATTACTTCTGTTTTTCTGGTGCTGATTCTCGTTCTACTTCTTCTTCTTCTTCAACTTCATGGCTATATCTGTTATCAGTGTTGTGTCATCAGCAAAGAATTTTTCGTTGGTCTTACTGATCTTTACGTTCCTGAGCCTGACATCCTTGAATATACTGTCAATGTAGGTGATTACTTTCACTGTCGACAAGAAACATCCCTGTCTTACTCCAGATGTTTTTATGAAAGGTTGAGATCTTTCCTGATTTATTCTAACTTCGCTTCTAGATCTTACATCTACCCCACAGCGCAAAAATAGTACCTGACTCGCTTTACTTGACAATATTGATTTGCTTTTATTACATGAACATTATAAGACCAACAAGTTGTTAAATGTTGAATTAAGAATCGACATCACAACCCTCGGTACACCCACATAAGCGCTCCGTCTCCATCTCCAGCAGCAAACGAAGAGTTAAAATTCCGATGGTATCAGTAACTGTCTGATTGTATATCCGTCTCGCCTTTCCCCTGCGTCTCGAGCGTCGGCCAGATCTCCTTGTTACTCCTTGCAGTGCCATAATAATATTATAATTATTGTAATAACCTTGCTCTGTACTCACCCAAACCCTGAAGCTCCTGTAAAATGAAGCACCCCTAGAGCATCTCTTACACGTTTATCTTTAGTGCCTCCAACAATGAAAGTGTCTGCGGCGTTAGCAAGGTCGGGGTTGACTGTACAGTTTCCTGCATCAGGGGCAATTATCGAATAAATATAATAAACACAGCTAAAAGAAATGATGGGCATAAATGTAACGAGAAGTGAAAACAAGGGTCTTAGTGTGAACAGCAGAAAAACAGAAGTAATGGCAATTACAAAGAGAACTGACCCACCGAAATGCAAAATCAAAATAAATGGGACAAACCGAAAGAAGTAGATATGTTTAAATGCTTGGGTACCCTGATAACATCACATGGAAGATGTATTTCAGGTATTAAATATAGAATAGCTCAAGCAGAGGTGGCAGTTTACAAGATGAAGAATGATGAAAAAAGACAGTCAAGTGAGGAGAAGGAGAAAATTGGAGTACGTTGAGACAGCGGGAAAGTTGAAGTGAAGAGAGACAGAGGGGGACCGAGAGACAAGATGCTGGACGGTTTGACATTATTGCATAGAGGATCATCTGTGTCAAGAGTTTATTGAAAGTACACCAGACAGAAGGTTGTGAATAGTCATAACTACCAACGCCACAAGGTGTTTAAGGCCGGATAATAATTAGGTGGCTATCTCTACATCACATTTCTACGAATGTGATGGTTAATGAGCAGATTCCTAGCATTGTGGACTCTTTTAGGAAAACACAGATGAAGTGATGCTGTAGTTTACACAGATGAGTCAGTATTTCGGGGCAGTTGTGACATATTATTGGATGCTAGCCGCTCAGCGAGTGTTTAAGTTGAAGTAAAAAGGATTGTTTATGGCAAAGTGGCGGCAGTTGTGTCATAGTATCGAATACCAGCCGCTCAGGGAATGTTTAAGCTGTAGTAGAAAGAACATATGACAGAGGGGCGGATATCTTGTCATAGTGTTAGATGTTGGTAGGTCAGGGAGGGTTTGAGTTGAAGGAAAAATGTATTCTGCTTTTTCTTTCTAACCCGTTGCTTAATTAGTCAACTGTTCTTGGCGTCATTATTCACATCCTGATGGGTGGGGAAAATGGAAGTTGTTAGTCTGAGGATTTGAGGCCGCGTGGCTAGTGCAGTCTCCTCGAACTGTGAATGTTTGGAGTCCCCTGTATTGTTAATTGTTGAATTATGTCCGACAGCAGCGCAGCCTGCTCTCTCTGCGGCACAAGTATACCATTGGCGCGGCAGTGCGCGTCCAACCATCTCGCTTGCCACTAGACCACAGAACATCTGCCGCGGCGCGAACAAAGCACTACAACAATGAACCGAAACGTCTCACCAGTTACCTATTGACAACACCGTCGTCTCGTCCGAAAAGTACGTTGTTCCATAGAGCGCAGCAGGGAAGTACTGGGGACTGGCTTCATGAACCAGGTTGGTTTACCTCTTGAAATTGTTTAGAACAGTACGGATCGAAACAATTGTCGATAACAGATTTTCTACTGAAGACCGGTAGACCCCTGCTGTGCATGCTCCCCTGTGGAGTTTTTCTCATTGATGCTGGGCACATTCCTGGCACGCTCCAGAACACACACAACCATGCCAGCTTTTTCTGACGGGACAACCAAGATTTTGCTAGTTGCCTGTGTAATGTTGAACAATTGGCCGATGAAAGGCACGTATACATTTCCAAATGTAACAATGAACATAGAAAATATGAATGTAAGTAACTTACCCCTGCCTACAGAATAATCAAATGTCAGAATTTCATTATCATCGAAATAGAAGTACATATCAGATTTAAGACCTGAGTCGAGAATAGACAGTCTGATTTGATTTCTCGATAAGCTGTAGAACATTCGAATGTTTGTCACGCGATTGGTTTCATGGGCTACAACTTCAATTCTGACGCTGAATTCGTCTGCCAATTTGATCTGTGGCATAGATGTGGTACCTGGCAAAAAGCGAAACAAAAGAACCATGTTACATGATTTTAATTTGATTTCATTTGATTTGATTCAAGAACCGACATCACAGCACTCAGGGCATTCCCATAAGCGCCCCGTCCCCATCTTCAGCAGCCAGCGAAGAGTTCCAATACTAATAGTGCCAGTAGCATTCTGATTAAACGTCCGTCTTGCCTTTCCTCTGAGCCTCGAGCATCTGCCAGAACCTCTCGTCACTCCCCGCCAGAAACTCTCGTCACTCCCCGCTGCATCAATCTCACCAGACTGGTGATCCATCTGCTCCTCCGAACTGTACACGCTCTCCCACAAGGCGCTAACCACGTCTGCCTTATCATGTATCAGTATTCCACCAAGTTGTGCAGAGCCAGCCAGTCTGTACGCCTGTTCATTTCCCAACACACCGGCAGCTCGGTGAAAAAATCCAGACAATACTCCTCATCCGCGTCCACCGCAGCGAAGCATGCCCCTCTGCACGAAGCATACCTGTTCTGATCTTCCTCAGCATGCTTCCTGAATCAGTTACAATCACGATGTGTGTGTGTGTCGTGTTCTCTAGCCAGCGGAAAGCTGCAGTGACCGCCACTGCAGCGACCTGATTTTAAAAGAAAAAAATAGTATTGTATCACTACGTATCTCTAAAACTTTTTTTAACCCTTAAAAAATCAGTCATGTTTGTGATGCTATCACCAAAGTCCACCCCCCCCCCCCCCGCCCACACACACACACACACACACACCCGCCCCCAGCATTGCTGTCGTTCTTGTGAAATGCAGTCATGATCACTCCTGCTTTGCTACTTACACTTTAAGAATGGCTCACAGTCTATTCCCCGACTTCGTTCTAACCATCTTCTATTCTTGCCGACAGCACGGCTGGAATCTATGTGTAATCTTTTCTCTCTTTTGTTGTACCCCACCAGGACATCACACAACCGATAAACAGTCAGTGACACAAAGTGCCACCATGTGGACGAGGATCACCTGTGGAGAGGTCCCAGAAACCCCTTTCAGTCATTAAGCCATATTTATGGCCCGGCTATGTTCAGGACCCCGGGCAAAAGCCAAGGTGGGGCTTCAAATAACGAAAAATTGCATCCTGCATAGGGACTAATAGTATGCATATATTTGTAATCTTTTTGATAGCACGGCTGGAATCCATGTGCAATCTTTTCAATAGTACGACTGGAATCAGTTGCAGCATTTTATTACTTTTTCATCTACGTTTGTTACGGGAATTTTGATGGGTGTCTTCGTTCCCTCGATCTATTTTTTTCCCTCATTGATAACATCCCCTTTCATGTTTATCCATTTCTCCAGACATTGGGTTTCGAACGCATTTAGCTTTCGTTTCATGTCTTTAGTGGGTCTCTAGCTTTCACTGGCTTCTCAATCCCAGCTTAAAGGAATGTTCCGAGGGCTATGATGACGAATGTTAATTCAACATTCAGTCTGCTTAGTAATCTCTTTCATAAAGAACGGACCAGATTTTACAGTTTCTCTCACTGGAAAGTTTGTAAATACTACGTTACTTGTTACGTTTTTTTAAAAAAACTTGTTCTCAGTATCCTAGCACATCGGTGCCATCCATTCGTGCTCCATACTCCGATACAGCAGTCATCCCAGTGTCTCCGTACTCTGATACAGCAGTCATCTCATGTCTCTGTACTCCGATGCAGCAGCCATCTCAGTGGCCCCATGCTCAACGTACCCAGCAGGAGTTTACTGAAATATCTTCTTTCGTAGCTCCCCAACTGATTTCTGCATGTTTGTTCTCGCTTAATACCAGTTTCCCACCAGCATTTCATTGTCTTTGTCTCAACGCCAGTAGAACGCAGCGTATTAAGTATGTCTGCCCTATCCATACTAATGACTTTCCTAAATAGTGCCTGTCTGTCAGCTGTTTCATTTCCCTTCACATCGGCATCTCACATTGTGGGACTTCTGAATTCTGTCAACATAGTATGGTTGCAGTTTGCCACTTTCGATCGTCTTAAGCATGCTCATTGAGTATGTCACTATCAATGCGTAAGCTGTTCTCAGTTCCGTCGAGTGTCACTTAAACGGGTCATCTCCTGGATGAGGGTCCATTTGTCAGCATCTGCGGGGATTTGACTCGGTTCTCTGCAATACTATCCCAGAATGATTATTACACCAAATTGTTGCCGGTGTTTCTGTTTAACAAAAGCAAGATGTGTAAGGTGGTGCTCGTGCTCATCAGTCTCGGGATTGAATTATACTCAGAAACTTTGCGGAATGTGTCACATTACAGAATCAACACACCTACCACAATAGGCTGGCCCAGTCTGGACACCCCCATAATCGTTGTTGTAACTATGATATCGGATAGTCCGTCCGTAGAGATATAGTTCGTGGGTTGGGGGGGGGGGGGGTCCAGATGTGAGAAATCTATATAAATCACTCTTAGATTGTTTCTTTTAGGCGTTTAGTGTCAACTTGCATGATAAGACACATTTTCTACGCCCGTTTAAGATTAATTGTGTGACCGCTTCACAGTGTACTTGAGCCCTATTCTCGCACCAACTGTCGTAGATAGGGACTATAATTTTATACGTCACTTCTTCGTAGTCCGTTCAAGTGTGCAGACGTGTGCAGTTTTGTAGCCACTTGACCGTTAAAAAAAGACAGGATTCTTTATTCTCTTTATCCATTGACTTGGGTGAGTTTTCCTAAAAGGATTTAATTGAATATGTGTGCTCCGTGCCTGTATGTGTGTGCAAGAAAGGTTGGCAGATTGATAATGCGAATCTGTTTGTCTACGATCGCCTGCGATGAAAGACGATAGATAGCGATTCTGGTTGGAATGCACTTTCGGCTGAAATTTCTCCGTGAATTCTTCGAGCCGGCTTTTTCTAAACCTCTTCGGATCAATCAATCCACCTTTCTGGAGTGTATTTAAGGTAATTTTAACCTTGTATGATCAGTTGTTATCTTTTATTCGGTCCCTGAACTTGTTGAGTCGCTGGATCGTTGGAAAGGACAGAGAGCTTCGGGTCAAGCATGACGTCATATCCGCCGTTGCTAGAAGCTACTGTAACCACAACAAGCTTAGGCTTTAGAAATGCTTTCGGAGCATATTTCCTTCTATCTTGGTTTTGTCTTCATCTCCTATACCTTATCTTTCTAACTAGTGAAAAGGGTATATTTAGAGGGATGGGGAATGATAGAGATCTGTCTGACTGGATTCAGAAACTATTCGAGTTAATAGAAACGTACGTATGACTCTAGTGCTCACTCTGGGAAACTGTAGGGGTTCCAAGATATATGAAGTCAACCTTCATGGTTTGGACTAGCCCTCATTTACGTCTGAGCATGTGGAGAGCGTGAGGAGGGTGATTGACAAGGTACATAGGGTGCGGTTTGCTCATGTGTGTTGCCTTGTTGATTTCAGGATATTGGAAGATCCAACAAGCATTCGAGTGGTAGTCTTGCTCTCCAACCAATCAGCACCTGGGAAGCATCCGACTTGCGTTGACCAGCCGTTGCCTGATATGTCTGTCTGTTGTTGAAGGTTACACCCACCAGTCTCTGGGAAGTTGATTGTTATTCGATCAATCCCAGGGGTAGTCTTATTCGTACGGAGACATTTTTGGAGTAACGGGACGTGGCAGAAGTCTACCTTCCGGCACCCTGAGGAGCTGTAGGATCCGACCAGATAAGTCCGAGTTAACATCACGTTAGCGGCCTAAATCCATATGTGCCTTCGTGGTCTATCTTAGCTTTCCGGGCCATGATGATCATAGAAATGGACGTGGCGATGTAGGAGGACGCTTTCTCTAATCTCAGTTCTTCAAAGACTTGAACATTCATTTTGATTCTTCGTGCTACTTTTCTTCTGCCTTGTTATAGTGCATTTATTACATTGAAGTTTTAGTTCATCAGACTTTTTGTTCTTAGAAAAGTTTGGTTTTAATGGAATCCATTGTCGTAGTCAAAAGAGTGTTCATGTCTTGTCCTATTCACTGTTGTTTATATATTTGACTGTGTTACGTTGTTTACCAGTCTGGGGATGTCTGGCTGAGAGGTACCCAAGAGTTCATAGTAACCCTGTGGAGTCAGAGCTCGAGTCACCTCATTCCTGAGATAGGCTGAATGGAAGTTTGAACCGAGGGTTAGGCCTCTAGACAAACGAGAGCCACCATTCAGAAGACCCCTGTCTCAGAGTACCTGAGGGGATTTGGAAAAAAATCCTCAAGTAAAGGTGTGTGACAAAACTGCCATACGACAAATGTCTAATGATTACTTGGAAACTGCAGTATTCCTACAAGAGACATCAAAAATCGCAGACGGCAATGTATATTTCATAAATACCTGGCTTGATGCTGGTGCACACTGGCTTTGGTGTTGGCACTTGGCCTTGAGCAGCCGCAAACAACATCGACACCACAAACAATAGCAGGCTCGCCATGTCTAAAACAGTCAGCAAACTGCTGCAATCAAAGTACATATCAAATGAGTTGTTACTTATTTGTACTAATGAATTCCATCAAAGAATTCAGATACTTTTTAAATGTTGTAGATAAAGGGACAAGGAATAAAAAGGACCAAAAGAAGGAGTGGAAAGAAAGAAAGAATTAAAGAATAAAAGAAAGAAACAAGGAAAAAAAAGAGAAAAGTAATAAGGTCGGTGATTATGATGATGATGGAGATGCTCCTGTTGCTGATGATGATAACGATAAAGATATGATGAAGATGAATAAGAAGACGTGAATAGGGAATAATCCATGTTTTTCTTTTCAATTAGGAATTGGAAAAGGTGGGGGGGGGGGGGGGGGTGTGAGGTTCCTAAGTATGTCTTTTCATTCAGTTTTTACAACAGTTTTTGTTCATAAAAATGTTTTTCCTTATGAAACAAAGTGCTGCTGTCTGAGGATTTTGATGTGATTTCCTGTATGATTTTAAAAGACTATATAATCAAATTAACATAGTAGTATATTATAGCATAATAATTATTACATGGCGATATACAAGGACACAAAATCAGACTCTTGAAATAAT